ATATAATATTCTAATATTCATATAAATAAATACAAGTAAATATAAATTTAAAATTACAATCTGCATATTGTATATCATAAATTATATGTCAGAAATTATGTTTCTTAACAATATACAGATGCTCCATTCAATGACAAACCATAACTAGTATTTAATACAAGTCAGGCCATAATGTATTCTTATTAATCATACTGTCATTCATTGCATTAAGTTTCATTACATCAAAAATTGTGATACTATTATTACTAATATAATTTACTTAAATGTGTGAATGTGTATGCGTGCGCGCGCATGTGTGTACGCGCGCGCGCGTTGTGTATATGTGTATAGTTATATACATTGACATTCGCAAATAACATTTTATGAAACTTTGTTAATACTACAAACTTCTATGATACTGTGTTATATGAACTATTATTTTGTTTTTCAATGCTAATAATGTAAAAGTCTATGTTACTAAAGAAAGTTAATCACTATCCATTGTAATAGATTCTTTTAATTCTGATTCATCAACATAATTATTTTTTGAATTTTTTTCTTCTACAGATTTTACACACTGCAATAATTTATTAATTAATATATCGAATTCAAATTTGCAATTCTTATTTTGTCATAAAACACTTTTTTGTTTTTATAAAGATTAATATTAAAAATTACAAAAATATACTTACATCTCCAATTTTTATACGTGGTGATGTTATTTGTTCTGGAAAATGCCAAGGTTTATAATTTGGATTATTAAGTAATTTCCAATTAGGATAAGCTATAGAAGCTTTATGTAACTTTTTAACCATCTAAAACAAAAAAATGTAAATTCAATACTTTCCTATAAAAAAAATTTTTAGATATAATCAATAAAAATACATACTCTTGGAGCAAATATTTGTGTAACTTTATTAACTAGCCAAACTGGTAATTTTCCATGTGGATCGGTATGAGATACATAACCCAACTCAGAACCATCGCCATTTCGAGATGGTCTTACAATATATCCTTAAATTAAGGATTTTAATAATGAAGAGATAAAATATTTACATAAATAATAAACTTTAATCTAAGTTTCAAACTTTACCTGTAAGATAAGATGTTGCCCGTACAAATTGCTTTCTTGGTGGATAATCTTTATGAAAAACAGAATGATTCAAAATTAATTGCTCTATTCCAGTATCAAGCCATGATCTTTGTAGAACAAAATCTCTGTTTTTCAATGGTGATGGACAGGCCACTAATTTTATATATATACATATATATATTATATATATAACTTTCATACATATAATTACACTGTCTATATAAAGAATAAAACTAATTAAAAATATTAAATACTTGCTTGAATAATAACCGATATCATTATTTGGATTAAAAAAACCTATGTCTTTTGACTCAATCATATGAGTATCCCAAACCTTTCTATATTCAGGATCATGTAATACATCATATAATATTTCTGGTAGGACATCAGGAAAACGTGTTCTAATCTGTAAAATATATTAATTCATAAAATTAAATATCTATTAAAATATGAGAAAAATGAATAATTTTTTTTACAATAAAAAAACAAATACATACTTTTACCATTCTAAAACTAATTCCTGATACAGATTTTGTCCAAACAGATAAATCAGGTTTATTATAATCTAATCTCCAATCATTATTATCATCATATAAGTGTTTTAACTTCTCGAAATCCTTATCCTCAGCAATTTTAACAATTCCAATATCCATTTTATTAGAATATTGTCTATAGAACAATCAACATAATTAATACGTAAGTGTACAATTTAAAAAACAATACAATGATAATTTGATAAACTAATTTTTTATAATTTAGTAATAAAATTTGATACAAAGTAAAAAATAAAAGTACCTGTTATTCACACAGTTCTTAGCAGTTCAATAAAAAGTCTATGCATGTTTAGTTCTTGTATATAATAGGCCTTACACTTATGCCAGAGTAATCTTTGGTCAGTCTTAATCATTGTTTTGCTTTCCAAAGATAAAAACTAAATGTACTACTCTTGAATTTCATTTATACTAAAAAGAAAATAAAAATAGGCTAATAATTGCATAAATTAATATAGTAAATTGAAATATAACCACTTGTCTACTAGAATATATTTTGATATTTTAATATTGATAAATTCATTATCAGTCACATAATCAATCATTAATAGGTATGTAATAACAGAATAAATGAAGAAAAAATTTAAGTATCCCATAATACTGACACACATGTTTTTCTGAAAATGAAAACAAATAACCTGAAAAAAAGTCATATACATATATACGTACCCTTCGTATAATAAACTGACAGCTATTTGCAACACAAGAATGTTTCTATAAATTAGAAACACATTTTTTTATATATTCAACTTATAAATTAATAAAAGTTGCTCTTACAATATTTGTAAAATTAAATTTTAACAAAGATCTACGTTAAAAAGGCCAACTGACTTATGCTACCAGTACGATATACTGATAACAGGTTAGCTAGCACATATAGAATTTATCTTTAATAGACCATTCAAATTGTCTTTACATAGATTGTATTTCATAAGTTTTCATTATATACTATAATATTAATTTATTTTTTATTTGAAATATATCTTAATTTACTTGTGAGTATTTGAATTTTTAAATAAATATCAATGAATTTATTATTTCACTGCAATTTTTTTTATATTTGATAAATATAGGTACATGCATGCATCATTTAAAATACGCATTAATAGTATGTAAATATTAATATAATTCTCTGTATGTGTTTACAAATTATTTAAGCTTCTGATTTTGTATTTTCGTTTGACTTGCCAATTGCGTTAAAAATGTAATGTTTATTAATGATTGTTATTATTCATAATTGATAAATAATGATCCTCTGTGATTGTGCACATTCATATTATAAAAATATATAATTATTTTTGTATTTAATTGTTATATGGGTACTTTTATTATTTTATTATACATTTTTAAAAATAATTGATGTTAATAATGTATTAAAGATTTTATTTATAATAGTACATTATATTGTAGGTTATTTTGTATTGGAAAATATCCTTAATATGGCTGTAAAAATTTCTGCTAATACTGGAAATATTGAGTTGGATAATAAAATCAATGAATGGTTAAGATGGAACAAGGTTTTCATAATTTATTTTTTATATCATAATTTAAATGCTTATGTTGATTACAAAAACATATTTATTTTAGGATAAAGCTGCTGAACATGAAATTCAACAATTAATCTTTAATAATAATAATGAAGTTTTATTTAACTTATTTTTAAAAAGGCTTGAATTTGGTACATCTGGTTTAAGAGGTTGTATGGGTCCAGGGTATAGTCAAATTAATGATTTAGTTATAATACAAACTGGCCAAGGATTATCAATGTATTTAATTGATAATGTAGTTGATGTAGCTGAAAAGGGCATCATTATAGGATATGATGGACGTTATTGCAGTAAAAGGTTAATGAGAAGATTTAACTTAAGGTTTTTAGTCATAATTAATATTTCATAAAAATTTTATATTATTTTAGGTTTGCAGAATTAACTGCTGCAATTTTTATGACAAACAATATAAAGATTTATCTCTTTTCAAAAATTATTCCAACTCCATTTATATCTTATGGTATATTAAAATATAAATGTGCAGCTGGAGTAATGATTACAGCATCTCACAATCCTAAGAATGATAATGGATATAAAGTATATTGGGAAAATGGCGCACAAATAATATCACCTCATGATAAAGAAATTCAAAAATACATACTTCAAAACCTTGAACCATTAGAATCTTCATGGGATGTAACAAAAATCTATAATAGTTCATTATACCTAGATCCATGGAATGATGTTATGCAGTATTATTTTAATGACCTTAAAGAAACTGTTTTATATCCAGAAGTGAATAAAAATACAATATTAAAATTTACTTACACTCCTATGCATGGTGTTGGATATCAGTATATGACTGCAGCTTTTAATGCTGCAAATTTTAAGGTATTGTTTATTTTAATGTTTATTATATATAAATTATTCTAAATATAATTTTTTATAAAATATTTTGTAGATCAATTTATAAATATAAATTTATTTATCAATTTTATTTAATATAAAACATTAATAAATAATTATAAAGAAGCATAAATAATAATAAAAAATTACAAAAAATTCTTAATATTGAATGCATTTTTATTATTTTATTTTAATTATTTAATTCAGGTTTAATTCAATATATTACAGCCATTTATAGTAGTTGAAGAACAGAAACTACCTGATCCAGAATTTCCAACTGTTAAATTTCCAAATCCTGAAGAAGGAAAAAGTGCTCTAGATCTTAGTATACAAGTAGCAAATAAAAATTCTTCTTCTATTATTCTTGCTAATGATCCAGATGCAGATAGGCTAGCTTGTGCTATAAAAATGAAAAAGTATGTAATTTGTAATTTTTATTAATATATATGCATGTAATATATATGCATGTATCTGAAATTTAACAAGTTTTTATATTTTTGTAATAGTAATGAGTGGTATATTTTCTCTGGTAATGAATTGGGAGCACTTTTGGGATGGTGGATGATCCATAAATATCAAGTACAACATCCTGATACAGACTTTTCAAATATATATATGCTAGCATCAACAGTTTCAAGTAAAATTTTAGCATCAATGGCTAAACAAGAAGGATTTAATTTTGAGGTGTGTATATTGAAAATGAAGTTGAAATATTTTTGTCATTTTTGTTATTATATGCTTCCTTTTCTTTCAAAAGGAAACTTTAACAGGTTTTAAATGGATGGGCAATAGAACTGTAGAATTAGAGAAAATGGATAAAGTAGTTATATTTGCATATGAAGAAGCCATTGGCTTTATGTGTACTTCAAAAGTTCTTGATAAAGATGGTATAAGTGCTGGAATGCATATAGCTGAATTATCAGCCTATCTTGAAACCATGGGACTCACTCTTCATGATAAATTAAATGAAATATATACACAGTATGCTATTTATTTTACATTTTAAATATTTACTTAAATAAGTAAATATTGTATTCATAATTAATAATTCTATACCTTACATCTATTTTTTTTAAATGTTAATATTTGATTTAGGTATGGATATCATATTTCTAAAAATTCATATTGGATTTGTCATGAACACAGTGTAATCAAGAAAATATTTGAAAGATTACGAACGTACTTTGGCAAACCAAATACAGTAAGGAAACACACATATGTACAAAATATTATTAGTATCATTTTAATTTTAAACATTTTTTAGTATCCAAGAAGTATCCTCAATGGGAAGCATCTTATAACAGGTGTTCGTGATCTGACAAGTGGTTTTGATAACACAAAACCAGAAAATAAAGCCATTTTACCTATTTCAAAATCTAGTCAAATGATAACATTTACATTTAAAAATGGTTTAGTTGTAACGCTAAGAACTAGCGGTACCGAACCTAAAATTAAATATTACAGTGAATTATGTGCACCGCCAGGAGAACAGTAAGTTGTTCATATTTTTAATAATAGCAGCATAAATTTAAATTTAAAGTTTTTTAATAATTTTATATAATTACATTAGAGATATTGAAGCATTAAAAAGTATACTTGATGAAATGGTATCAGCTGTTGTGACGGAGTTCCTTCAACCTGAAATAAACTGTCTTCTACCTCGTATTACCTAATAATATTACTATTTCGATTTGTTATTTGACAGATTAGTTTTAATATAATTTTTTAATTTTCTGTTATAATACTACTATCATGACATACATTTTGAAAAATGAATAAATTACAAAATTTACATTAGATTTACGTAAATAAATATTATCATGAATTTACAGAATTACATTCCACTTTAATTATATATGTTAATAATTTATATTAATTTTAATAAAAAATTAATATGCATTTTTAATAAATTTATTTTTTTAATATACATGCACATATTTTAATTATTTAAAGAATGTATATTTTTTCATGTAGAAATCACTTTATCTCTTTTTGAACAAAACTTAAACTACTTTGTTTCTTGCATATAAAATGTAATACACTGAAAAAAATACAACTTTATCATATTGAAATGTTTTATAATATTATATATTATATTTAAAAGAAATAAAGAATTACCTGCTCATCTAAAAAATCCATAAGAGTATTCAGCTTACATTTAAAACCTTCTATTTTTAACATAGAATGCAACGAATTAATGCATACTGGCTCATAAGACAAAATTTTATTGTATAATTCTCTTTTATTAATAAGAAGTTTTAAAAACATATCTTTAATATTTAATGTATTATCTATGACTGAAGTGAATTCAGGTTCATTAAACTGTTTTTCTTCATCGATTATATTTATTGACAATTGTCCATGTGTGCTATTAACAAATTACATAATTTGTTATAATTTATGAAAACATTTTTAAATTTAAATAATGAAATTAGTATTATGTATATATAATATACTTTTTCATGGTAAGTGTCGATTGAGAGTTATAATTATGGACAAATTCAATATTACATTGTTTATGATTCATCTTTTTCATTGGTGGTTCCTCATCTTCACTGCTTATTATTGTTAATTCAGATTTTGTATTCTTTGATGTTGAACAAATTGTAGGATGCAACTCATTATAAATATATGTTAATAATTTCACAGCTCTTTTTCGTTTCTGTATTTTCAATCCATATTTATCTAACTCTGTCTGTGAACACATTGATACATTAAAATGTAATTAATAATAACATGACTTCATTAACTTACCTGAAGTTCGAATGTTTTCATATCATTATAATTAGGAGGAGGCGTAACACTGTCTCTAATAATTTTAGGTAATGCAGTATCCTCTATTTCTTTTTTATAATTACATTTACATTGTGAATTATTATAAAATTCGAATTTTTCAGGCATAACACTATCTGTATTAATATATAAACTTTTTTCTAACACTGATTTCTTTTGAATTTTTCTACTGTATTTTCTTGTAGTTAGTGATTTTTTATTGTGTTTTAATTGTTTTGTGAAAGAATTATTAATTATAGATAACTTATTTTCATTTTCATTAGCTGTTATGTTAGATACAATTTTTTTAGAAATTGGCGAAGTGTTAATATTATCATCACTATTATCTATGTAAATATTTGCCAAATGAATATCATTTTTGAAATTACTATTATTGTCTGAGTTTTCAGAGTATAAAACACTTTTATTTGTTTTGTTCTCTTCATATTTATACACATTTAAAACATTATAATCTGATTCAGGACTGGAAGGAACTGATACAACAGATCCCTCTGAATCATATTTGTTTGTATTTGATTCTGCTAATGTAAGTGAATTTTTTCTAATTGCTTGTAAATCAATATTACTTTCCGATTTAATACTTCTTAATTTATTAGAATTATTCGGTTTATGCTTTTTAAAAGTATTTTTTTGAGTACTTAATGGCATAACATTAGTAAAGGAACAATTATACTTGTCTAAACTGCACATACTACTATGACTACACAGATTTTGTAAAGATGTCTTCTTACACTTTTTAAAATTAAAAATAATATTTTTCGTTTCATCTTCATCATATCTTTTTACTAAACTTGTTTTAAATCCTGTCTCTTTATCTGTGTCTAGTAACAAAATATTATTATCTTTACTGTTTTTATCTTCATACTCACCAAATGTTGTATTATTTATCTCATTATTTTTTAATATATGTTCTTGTACAAAATTTCGATACTTTATTATACTATTAATTTCATGTCCTTTTTTATACTTTGAATACATGGATTCTTCACCAGTATCAAAATCTGAAAATGTATCTTCTTGATTTCCATTTTGTAAATTTTCTGAAACTTCTATACTTCTTTTTAATCTATCTTCTGGTACAGAATATACTATTTTATGTTGGAGATCCTGATATAAATTTCTCATATTTTCATACATTAAATCATTCTTATACTTTTCTGTACATATTTGTACATTATATTCTGATGATTGAATTATGTTATTTATTGATTCCAGACTGGAAGATGTATTTTCATCATTTTTTTCATGTAATTTTTTTTTATTTAAATTAGAATTTGCAACACAATCAAATGTCTCTAAAATATCTTTTTTTGTTTTAAACGATTCTTTTACAATAGTGTTTGTTTGAGATATAGAATAAACAGGAGAATTATTTTCTTTTATGTTAAATGGATTTCTATTTATCTCAGAATATGTTGGTAAAATTAAAACTTCAGAATCTACATCAACATCTGATCTTGCATTTTCCTTTTGAACTTGTTCAATAAATATACTAAGATTGCTTTTTATTCTTGGTTTATCTGGACATTTCTCTTTTTTTGGTGTAGTGAAATATGGAGTATCTGCTAATAAATTTATATTTTCTTCTTTGCTTTGAAGTATATCATTAACATCATCAAACAAATCAGGAGATGCATTAACAATTCGTATAGAATTTGTATCTTTTAAACAGTTGATTTCTTTATGCAACAATTCTTCTGTAACGTCATCTTTTTGTAATTCAATTTCAACAAATTCTGATTTATCTATAATGTATTTCTCTAAGTGTTTCTTATTTAATTTTTCCATATCATCATCTAATTTAGAATCTTTAATATCACAGGTTAAGTTTTCTACGTTATTGTTAGTTAACTCCAAGTTATCTTTTTTTCTAGGATTTAATTCTTGCTCTTGTTTATTGTGCATTAGAGTTTTTACTTGCTTCATATTAACATTTTTTCCTTCTAAAAAAGCAAACAATCTTTTTACTCTATATCTTCTTGCAAGATTTCTTAAAAATGCAAAATTTGTAACATTGTCCAAAACACTTAAATATTTTTTTATAGTCCCACAATAAATAAATTCCAAAAATGCTAAAGCAATATTATAAGATACATCTGTCCAAGAAATTTTGTCCTTAATTGTAGTACATAATAAAGTATCATTAGGTGTAATATCAAGTAGTATGTTTGAACACTGCACATAAAGAACTAATTTATGTGCCCAAATATGTTTACCACTATTAACAAATATTATTATATCACTTGCAGAACTATCATTTAGTGCATCACCCCAATTTGTTATTATTGAATTTAGAAATTGTGTATTATGACAATTTTCACATTGTACATTTACTTCTGCACATGACATTTCTTGTATTTTTTCATCATTATATAATTTTGTTTTGTACTGATTTAATTCCACGTCATGAGTATTAGATGTATTTGCATATTCTAAAATTGTTTCAACTTCCTACAAATAGAATATAAATACTGAATACAAAATTGTAAGTAAAATAATATTTATCAGAATATAATTTATAATATTAGTAAATTTATTACTTATCTTACTTACTATTTGCTTTTCTTCTGGAGTTATAAAATGTAATAATTCTGTTACATAAAAACATTTTTGATTTGGAGACAATTTTGCCTTATTCCACAATTTTTCTTCCTTAAAATTAAATAATAAAAAATTAATAAAACATAAATTATAAAAAATAGAATCAAGTAGTTTTTATACCTTATTGTAAAATTCCTGAAGTAAGCAACTTCTCAAACCACGTTTTTTTTCAATTGCAACATTATATTTAATTTCTCCTATTTGATTTTGAGTAACTAGTTCATTTCCCATTAGAATTTCTGAAATTTTTTCAGTCAAAATATAATTTCGCTCTTCCTGAGAACGTGTTTGAAGTATAGTTATTTCATTATTCTTCCCTATTAAAAAACACATTATGTTAAAAGCAATATTTTGATTTTATTTAAGAGAATGATATTTAAACATTTTAATTTAACATACTTCTCTTATTTTTTGATATTAATGGAGGTTTGCTGTTTGCAAATCCAAATTTTTCCAACTTGCCTTCATAAATTAATTTATTTGCTTCTGGTACCATCTGATTTAATGTTTTAGGTGATCTTTCAATTTCGTTAATTATATCTAATTCCTCTGTTTCTTGAAGTGATTTTGATAATGCTAATGCAAGTTGTAAGTCAGTTTCTTCATATGAACTCTGAAAAAAATTTTCTAAGTATTTAAAAAATCTTATAATTATAATATTTAAGATAACAAAATACATACCATCTTACATGATAATGTAGGTTTCTTTTTATTTTGTACTATAGGTGCAACAGGTAAACCTAATGACTGTCTTTCATCTTCTTGTCGTTTCTGAAGTTCTATAGCATCTAACAACTTTTTTGTTGGTATTTTATACTTGTATGCACAAATCTTCATATGTAATGTATGAGAATTAAGATCTTTAAATGTTTTAAAACATAAAGGGCATACAAGAGCCACTTTCACATCAGTAATGATAGTTTTATCATCACAATTATTTTTAGACTTAAAAAATGATGATTCTATTGAAGGTTGTGATTTATGTAAATTTTCTTTTTTTCCTAAATGTTGTTTATGCTTTATCACTTTTTGATTTTTAATAGAATTCTTAAGTGTTACAGCTGTCTTATCTTTTCGATATACAATGCACTGATTTAATTCAATTAATTTTATTCTAGGAGATTGTCTTGGACTTTTAAAATCTAATATACTGTCATCTTGAGACTCTAAAGATGTATTGTGTGAGATTTGACCTCTTCCTGAATGTTCATTCATTTTATATGTTTCTAAAGAATGATATATATTAAATTCTGTAAATGTATACTACATATAAAATTAAGAGATTTATATTACTTAATATTATAAAAAATATAAAAAAACATATAGCTCACTAAATAATATACCAATTTATTTTATGTAATTAAATGATTTATTTTATTTAGTACTACATTATTAGTTAAATATTGTACTTATGCATTTTTAAAATTAAATATGAACAATTCTTAATCTTCCGCTATTATTTTTTTTGAGTCCTTTCCAAATACCATAGCAGTGATATTGTTAAAAACAGAATTATCCCAAAATGTCATTGATTGTACATATTCTTCATATAATTTGAACTCCTTAGAATTACTTTCATTAAATTCATCAATGAGTTCCTTTTTTTTTATGAAAAAGTCACTACAATGTAACAAACACTTGTATCAAAAACATAATTTTCTTATATATTAAATATTAAAAATTATACATTTAGATGTTATAATATTTGTTATTAGACAAGAGTTTATTGATTTGATAACAATAACTATTTCAATAATACACAAAAATAAGTTCTGCTAGAACTATCTTATAAATCGTTAAATAAATTGAATATTTAAAATGTGTGTTATATATATTTAGTTTAAATTTCACATGTATTATATATATACTTTATATAGTTTAAATTTTATATGTAATATTTTTAACTTATGGGAAAATTTAAATAAATAAAAAATATTTTAAAATATATCCATACAAATATTCACCATATGAAAATGCAGCCTCCAGTAATAATAGGCGGTACCATACACTTTATAGCAAAAATTAATCTACCAGCCGGAGTACTACCATATTTTCGAAGTATATCTTTTTTTAAAACTACTGCTTCGTACATTGTGTATAGTTTTAATATGTTGGAAGTGTCGTACAATGATATTAAATATTTTTATATAATTATCAAACAATTCTTATAACAGTGTTGCCATAACAAGGCTTAAATTTATATAATTTAATATACGATAAAAAATAATTAATATTTAATTATCATATTTAGCTTCTGTTAATAACCCTTGCTAACATATTTTTATTTTTTTAATCTAACATATTTTCATGACAAATTGAAATTTTCATATGGAATCGAATAGGTAAATCGAAATTGTGTACTAAATAAATGATTTCACAAATGAATTTATTTTAAACTTATCACGAGTAAAAGTTTTTCAGTTTTTCTTTTTGTAATATAAAAAACGTTCTTATTACATATACATGTGAATAACAACTTATATCTTATTATTTTTCTTGCTTGATAAAACTACATCTCAGCTTACCAGACATATACGTCATTACTCTATTGGCTACAAATTTTTCTCCATTTTTCTATTTTTCTTTATTAAGCACAATTTCTACTCGTGAAAAGGTTAAATATATTTATCACACTATCTCTTGTTTATTATAAATCCTTAAATGGCTGAACTGTAATATTTTAGAATCTAATCATATTAAATCAACACTAATAACAAACTTTAAATATTAGTTATGAGAAATTACCGCCAATTTTTTAGAGTGTGACAAAATTTGCGTAAACAAATGTAAAATAATTAGTGATTACCAATTAAATTTTATAAAACATAGAAATACTACACTTTAAAAAATTCATTTTTTACACTGAAATTAATTTTTAAATATGGTATGTATTATACTTATCATTTATATTATTAGTTTTTTATTTTTAAAGATCTTATATCAATTAGTAACTATATTTTAGGCTTCTACCTCTAAGAGACAAACTACAGTTGTAAGTAAGAAAAAAGGTATACCAAAAATGGAATTGACTTCTGAACAAAAAAATGATATAAAAGAAGCATTTGACTTATTTGATCCAGATGGCACTGGAAGAATATCTACCAAGGAACTCAAAGTAGCCATTAGAGCCCTTGGATTTGAACCAAGAAAGGAAGAAATAAAAAAGCTTATAGCTAATGTTGATCCAAATGGTCTTTGTACATTATCATTTGAACAATTTCTATATTTAATGTCTACAAAAATGTTAGAAAAAGACACAGAAGAAGAAGTTTTAAAAGCATTTTGCCTTTTTGATGATGATAATACAGGAAAAATATCTTTCAAAAATTTAAAAAGAGTTGCTACAGAATTAGGAGAAAATCTTACAGATGAAGAATTGCAAGAAATGATTGATGAAGCAGATAAAGATGGTGATGGGGAAATTTCTCAAGAAGAATTTTTACGCATTATGAAGAAAACTAGTTTGTATTAATATTTCATAAATTAATTTCTGATTGTTTTTGTGGTGCAAGTTACTTATGTGCAAGTTGTTTGTATAATTTATATAAGCATATTATAAATATTAATTGTTTGCATTAATTCTATTAATTTAATTCTATATAATAATATATAATATTAAATATAAATAATATATAATGCACAATGATAATAATTTATTTATATCAGAAATACAGAAATTTTAGAAAAAATGTTAAATATTTTGTCAAAAAATTTTAAAATAGTTATAAGATATTTTATTATTTTATCTTAAAATTTTGTATAATTTTCCATTCATTTAAATATTTCTTATGCAACTGATGATATAGCAATATCAATTAACGATCTCACTAATTCTACTCTTTTTTTACACTTACTTATGCTCTCTAGAAATAAATTTTGTGAGATTGGAATTCCACCTATATAAACAATGTACAATATATTATTACAACTTTAATTACAAATATAATATGTTTACATGTATTTTTATATTTATCATATAACAACATACCAGGTTTGTGTATGCAACAAAGTTTGTTTTCATTCATTACAATAGTTAATCTTCCTAAACATAAACTTTCTTCAACATCAGTAGGATCAGCAATCAATAATTGACTAGAAGTATTAATTTGAAGTTAAAATTTCATTTGCTAATTATTTTAATATCTAGTTTCAAATTAAATTAACTTACTTATCAAATATTGCAAAAGTTACAGAAACTGGTAATGCTTTAATTGGAAATCGTATTCTTTTTGTAGAATTTATAGACACATTTCCAGTTTCTTCATTGTAAAATATTTCAGGCAAAGTTACTATATAAAAAAAACTATATGAATTAAAGATATGTAATATAAATATATTTCATTATAATGCTTAATGCTATTCAAAACTTACAAGTATTAAGTGTAGTTGTTAGTGCTCCAATAGAGGCATCGATTATTGAACCATCATAGTTAATACAGACAAGGTCACAATATAAAACCCATACTAATTTACCTTTGTAAACACAAAGATCTTTTAAATCAATAGCTGCAGAATTTCTTAAAATATTTTCTATCAATTTTGTAATAACTTGTGCTTGGTCACTTGGTGGACCTGGTCGAAATTTTGGGGAACATAAAGGTGGTAATTCAACATTTGGCACAATGTAACCACATTCTGAAGATTCTGCCTTAGGTACTGCTAATTCCTGCAATAAAATTTTATAGTAATAAAACTTATAATAACTATATAATATTCATATACATAATTAATTAATGTAGTCTTTAAAAATACAAAAATTAAAACTTTTACAGAAATTTATGCATCCTTTGACTTCATACTTTTAATAATAATGTTTAATAATACATTTTTATAAAAGATAGATAAAATGCAGAAAGGTTACTTACAGCTTTAATACCACACACAACTGTTGTGTTACCAATTTTGAATATAGCTGAGCTATCAGCATGAGTGACTGATGCTACATTTACACTTATTGGACGAAAAGATAAGAATTGCCTACCATCTGGACGAACATCTTGTGCCTTCACATTTTTAGTTATTGCATATGAATATATTAATTTAGTTTTAATTTACTATATACAACTACATATAGAAATTTATTTATGAATATATACATACCAAATGGTCTTGCAAATATTTTATAGGATGAATAATCCTATAATTCATTTTCAATTAATTATAATTGTAAAATAAAATTACTAAAAGTAAGTTTAAAATGTAATTATTTTTGTATTATTCTGTTCTACTCTATTTGATTACTTAGATATAATAAAATTTAGAATACTATTTAAAAATGAATCTAAAGAGGTTATATGAAACTAAAAAACGTTTTAAAAACTAATTACTTATATATGTAAATTTAGAATTTTATTATGTATTATAATACATTTGTTACGTATAAAAGATAAATGTAAATATACATATTAAATAAATAAAGTAATATATAATACAATACAGGAGAGAGGAAATACCAACTTGTATTGTGAATCCATAACTTAAATAATAACCAATAATACAATTGACCTTTTCATTCTTATATTACATATAAAATATATTAAATTTAAAATAGATTTGAAAAAATTATAGAAAACTGATCATGTTTAAGTAATCATATTAATACTGCTTCTTAAAAATTAAAATTTTTAATGAAGAAGTATATTATTAGCTTTAATCTAATTTTATAACAGAAAATTATATTTCTCAATAACTCTTTTTTTAATTTTATTACATTTATTTCATAAGACATGCATACATGCCAACTATATTATTTTAAATCTTGAAAAGAAGATTGATTGACAAAGCATTTCCTAATTTTGATATTAAATTTAATTTATTGCAAATATTATATTTTATAATGATTTCATTTAATCTTATAATACAAACCACTAAATAGAGTTTTGGTTTTATATGTTTAAAAATTTATTATATATATATCTATCTCATTTTCTTCTGAAATTAACATTTAGTTAGTATCAACTGTTTACAAACAATAGAAAAGACAAATATTCTATTCAGAAAGGCACAGTGTGACATATATTTTTAAAATATTATATCAACGGTAATTAGAATCTAATGATAGTAGATATCGAAATATTACAATATAACAAGATGGTATAAGTATAAATGGTCAAAATTTTATAATTTCACTTGTAGTGAATTAATTTTTTTTACAAAGTATGGAGTTAAAAAAATAGTAGTCTTCTATTTTTAAATGTCTGTGTAAGTATTAAAATAATATTCTATTTAAAACTTAACATGAAAGATTCCTTAAAAATTAATCACATAAATACATTTTAAACATATTAATTTTCAAAATTTGGTATAAAATTATTCAAATTCTTTATACACAGACATATTTGTTAAATCTTTGCATAAATATAATTTAAAAGTAATTTTAACAAATTTTAAATTACTATTAGTTGCAATATTATTGACAATTTGAAGTTATTAACTTTTAAAAATATAATTCTGGATAATATTCCTGTTTATATCGCTGTTCAGTGTAGTATAATGTAGTGAACTTCATCGGGCAAGTGTAGAGTAAAATTTAGGCTGCAAAAAAAATATATAGTCTTTGAAACTTTACTGAATTTATCTACTGTTAATATTTTTTAGTAGTTACCTCATGATCGTGATTTTCTTCTTTATTTCCATCGTCATCATCACCAGAACTATCACCTCCTGAACTATCTGCAGAATTACGTTGTTGATCTTTATTATTTAAATTATCAACAGTAGAAGATGATGATGCTTTTACTTTACTGGCTGCATCATAACATTGTAAACAAACTCTAACTGCTTTTCCATTTCCTTGTCCAGGCAATAATAATTTCTTATTGCTACAAGGTCCGCATACAACAGCTCCACATTGCCTACAATGATGCTGAAAATGTTTTATTAACACTCATGTAAATTAAATATTGCAATAGGTAATTATACGAAAATATAACTAATATATATTTACCCGTCTATTTAAAACTGTAAATTGTGTTTTATTACAATGCATACAAATTGTAGCTTCATTATCTGGAACCCAAACAGCTGCATGAACTTCAACTGGTTTCTTGCCACCTATAAAAGGAAATGTTTGAATTACAAATATATTAAATACATAAATAAGTTAATATAATAATATTACATAATTACATACTTTTCCTCAACAAGTCTTCAATGCATTTTGTAATATGAGCCATCCATTCCTGTTTCTCTGTTGCAGTGGCAGCATAAACAGCAAATGACTTTGTTACTGTTTTTATGAGCCAGCCATTGCGATATTCTATAAATAATGACAAACTACTATACTATAATAATATTACCTATAACATTGTCTATATTTGATACACATGAAGCTAATAGTCTAAAAATTAAAGTTAAAATTATTATAAATGATAGTCTAAATGGAAACAAAAAACTTCTTGTCAAAATAAAATAAACCATTTCACAAACATATACAATATAAATCATGTTTACATAACAACATATGTAATTAATATTTTATTTCTCTCTTAGACATCCATATATTTTTAAAATACACCATACATATAAATATGTACAGAATATAATTTAATCAATTAAAATATAACTTACGACCATCATCAGCCAGAGACTCAAGCTTAACTTCTTCAAGTGGTATAATATGTTGTTTGTTGTACTGTTAACATAAATAAATCTATTCAAATCTCTAATAAATTAATATATTAAATTAAACTGTTTCATTAATAAATAAATTATATTTAAAATAATTATTGATATTTACACACATGTACCTTTTTCTTATTTAATACAATATTTCCATAGACCAATATATCATTAAATAAAAAAAACTGTCTTGGTTTGGGCTTTTTTCTACACATTTTTGTTAATACACCTTCTCCGACTAAAACTCTTCCAGGTACTGCAAGTGGCTGAAATACATAATACATTAATATTAATTTCAAAGATTATTTCTTTATATTTTACTCTATTTCAAATACTACAAGAATATAATCAAATATTACAAGAAAAACCAGATTATAAAATATTACATAGTTACATTTTCTGAAATCATGAAATTGAATGTTAAAAAATTAAGAATTTTAATCTTACCTGGCCAGAACTGCCAAAGCAGTATTCCACCATAGCAATACGCCTGGCATTAGCCTCGCTATTTACTGGAACAAATTATACAAAAAATAAGCAACATTTTATTGTTTTTCATAAAATCCATAATATGTAGCAACAACTAAAAGATTAATCATTTTTGTCAAATGCTTTATATATTACGTATTCAACTGTCAAAATCACAAACTACTAAATTACACCGTTATTCGATGCAATTTAAAACTGATAAAATAAGCAAATTATCAATTCTTTAATTCAAAAAACAAAGCAAATATTACGCATGTTAAAAATTATACATTAGAAATAAATTAAACAACTCTAAAAGAATAAAACATTAATTAAAAGATAATAAATGAAATATAAACTAACCCAATCGGTCAACCATGATCATATGAATCAGGGCTGACAACAAGGAAGTATGAATCATGAACATATTTAGTAATTGTTAATTTTTACAATGAAGTGTATTTACAACATTATAAAATTAATTAATGTATACAGTACCATATAAAAAGACCTTCTATGCAATAGTTTAAGATATTTAAGATAGTATAAAATTTGTAATTTTTAAATAAATATTATCTAACTATTAGAAAATACAAAAGATAAAACAAGTTACATTGATTTGATATTTATTTTCGCTTGATGTTTTAAATTTCGCTTAATTATTTAAGAAATATTAACAGTATAATAATATAAATCGTTCTGACCAATATATATCGCAAATTTTCAAACACCGGATCTGCTCCTTCGAGGTATCGATATCTGGTATTTCTTATCCATAAAAATCATATGATTATTGAGGGTGTAGCAAATTGAGAGTGACGATAAACTTGTTTTTAGGTTACTTTATTCAAAGTAATAGAAAATACATCGGTAAAAAATGAAGATATGTGGACCTAAATATGCCCTATGTGGCCTGATATTATCTGTTTGGGGTATATTTCAATTAGTAAGTCATTTTCATTATTTAATATTGATATATTTGAAAAATATTAAGAAATTTATAATTACATGTATTTTGTATATAAAACATTATAAAATAGTAAATGTAAAAAAAATTATGTTAAACATTTTATGTGCTTAAATTTGATTTTTCTCTGATTAATAAAATTTTATTGTTTGAAGAAAATTGGTGAATTATCTTTCAGTTAAATGATATTATCATGAACTCTATAAATAAAAAGTTTTTGACAATATTTTAATAAGTACAGAGTTTATTGATTAAATCAGATATATATGTATATATATGTATATATATATATACACATATATATAATCAATAATACATACAATACCATATATTTTTTTACTTACCAATAATTTATAATTTGTAGAATGATATATCATATTTATCTTTTAGCTCCTGTTGGGAATATTCTTCTATACCAAAAGTGTAGCTTTAATAGAAGATCTTCCATTACCAGGAGAATATAGTAAAGCTACAGAGTTTTATGCTGCAGCAGATAGAGGTTACAAACAAAATGCATATAATTGTTGGATTGCAGCTTGTATCTATGTCCTTACGTTTCTTTTCTCTGGACATCAATTTTATATTAATTCAAGATCATCTTTAAGTGTTTAAAAAATTATTATTAGCATATGAGATAACAGATAAAAATATACATTTAAGTGTATGATATGTATTATAAATAAAAACATACTTAGGAATATACCAAATATTAATTTCTGCTACATGTTTTTGTATTTTTATTTTAAAAATTAGTTATTATTTAAAGCATATGTGTTACATTGAATATAACTGTAGTATATCAAATATAATATGTATAAAATAAAATATAAAAAAATACAGATTATTTCATGTTATGTACAGCACTTCAAATAGAATTTTAATAAGTATTCAATTTTATTGATTGAATCTATTTATGTAAATCTAAATTTCTATTTCAATGAAAAATTACAGGTGGCAAGTGAACTATGTATTATACTGTAACAATATTCTTGTTATATAAATGATTTATTTTATTTTAAAAGAGTTATATTAAGATTTTTAAATATTACAATAGTATTAATCCTATTACAACAATATATGTATAAAACTTATTTCAGTTTATTTATTCAAACAAAAATTAAATTTACTATATTCATGTAAAGTTCTTTTAAAGATATAACTATTTATGTATATTTATATATTGCTTATAACATATTAATAATATATATAATATATTGCTTATCAACAGTAAATCATTTTCAGTAATGACTTCCTTTGTTTACAAATTTCATATACTTAACCCTTTGCATTCGAGAGGCTCCCTTCAGTCGACATTAAAATTTTTAAAAATGTATGCAAGGTATAGAAATCAAATAGTTCTACATGTTAATTATTATACAATTTATTATTTACTGCTGGAAAAAATATCGTTAACTTTATAGCAGAAAATCTTTGAACTCCTACTCATCTTTAGCTAAAAAATCGTCGAGTGCAAAGGGTTAATACATTGAGTAAAAAGAATACGGAATTTAAATTATATATATATAACAATAATAATTTAAATAAAATAATATACAAAATTTTAAACCGTGCTACCGTATTTAATGTATTATCATTTAAAAAGAGGATTAATATATTATACCTATGGTGAACAGTGATTAATAGGTTATGTATTTATATGATATATACTCTTTTATTAATAATAATTACGAAATTCAGATTAATTATCCACATAAATTGTCCTGTATTATGTATTACAAATATTTTATAATTATTTGAATAAAATTAAACTATGTCTTACTATGAAAGAAAAAGAATCACTTTAACATATGTGTCATGTTCTAATAAATTTTAAATATTATAAACATATATATAATAATGTACAATATTTTATACACATATGTTTATATATATTACTAACTGTATTGTATAATTATTAGTGTATAAAGTGTTAATATATACATCAAATTATGGAACTTTTAATATTTTAATATTAAATGTAAATATACATTTCATTATAGAATATCATACTTTATTAGTTCCAATGGAAAATACAATGGAAAACGAGCAAATAACAGAAGACTATAGTGAAGTAATACAACGTCTCTCTTTTTCTTTAAAATTGTCATATGGAATAGGACATGTTTTAAATGATATTTGTGCTTCAATGTGGTTTACATATTTATTAGTATTTTTCCATTTGGTTTTGGGTTTTAATTCAATATCAGCTGGAATTATTTTACTTATTGGTCAAATAGCAGATGCTTTTGCTACTCCTTTTGTTGGTTTTCACTCTGATAAAAATGATGACTTTTGGTTATGTAGATATGGTAGACGAAAAATGTGGCACTTAATAGGTATGTACATATATTATATATATATATTATGTGTATACATTTTATGTATTGGTTATATTCCATCTGTTACATAATACATTTCTGAAATTATGCATTTTAGGTACTTTATGCGTATTATTTGCATTTCCTTTTATATTTTCACATTGTGTTGGATGTGAAACTGCTCATGAATGGGCACAATTAATTTATTATGCAGCATTTGTCATAATCTTCCAATTCGGTTGGGCTGCAATACAAATATCTCATTTATCTTTAATACCAGAACTCACACCTGTAGAACATGAAAGAACAGAACTCGTAGCAATTAGGTACACATGTTTTTAATTATAAGAAAGAAAATATTTAAAATATTTTAATTAAATTATGATTCAAAATATTTATTACAATTTTATTTAGATACAGCTTTAGTGTTCTTTCAAATGTTTTTGTTTACTGTATTACATGGGCAGTATTACATATAGCAAACACTAAAGATTTTAATTCTCAAATTGGCCCTGATGATGCAAAAAAGTTTCAAACAGTTGTATTTATTGGAATTGGACTAGGGACTATAACATCCATTTTATTTCACATCTTTGTTAAAGAAAAATTTACTAATAATTCTAATGGTAAAATTAATTTTATTATTGTTTATTCAATGATAATTTTTATTTATCTTAATATTTATTTTATTGTATCCATTTTAGGTTCATTATATATAAATTCAAGAACAGTATCATTACTGTTAAAAGATATTCAATTATATCAAGTTGCTTGCATATATATGCCTACTCGTTTGTTTGTAAATTTTTCACAAATTTATGTTCCTTTGTATTTACATGAATCACTAAATATGGCAGCTACATCTTTGGCTATAATTCCATTAATAATGTATTTGGGAAGTTTTATAATGTCTTTAATTATAGAGAGATTAAATACAAAACTTGGTAGAAAAATTTCATATTGTTTTGGTGTTGTACTGGGTGTATGTGCTTGTATTTGGATACGATTTGGTAATGATTTAACATATGTAAAGTATCAAATTTATCCAGTGTCTTTAATATTAGGTAAGATTTACAATTTAAAAACTTTTACAAATTAAAGTGTAAGGCACATATTCAAATATTACTTTCTTCTGTTGTAGGGTCTGCAGGTTCTATTATGTTAGTGACTAGTCTTGGTATTATTGCAGATTTCATAGGTCAAAATATAGATAACAGTGCTATCACTTATGGTATTATGAGTTTTACAGATAAACTTTGTAATGGATTAACAGTTATGCTTATTCAGTATTTGTTAGTATATAGTAATCCTATTTAAAATATTATTTATTTAAGTGGTAATCAAATCTATTATTTAAAAAGTAAATAATAAGTACTTTATTTTATTCCTTTAGAAGCTCATGGATTCATTATAAGAATTACTATAGAGATGTCTTAGTTTACATTTGTGCTATTTCTGCAATATTTAGCTTATTAATGATATTATGCACAAAATCATTTCACCACAATACAGGTACACATATATAATAAATCAGTTCTAAAATAATATATATATATACATACAAACATTGTTTTAGCATATGATACATTATATCCTCAACAGACTATAGAACATAATAATGTATTTAATACCATAGCAACAACGGAAATAGACCCAGCAGAACAAGAAAATGTTTCATAATATTAAAAAATAGTAATCTAAATATTAATTATATCTTAAAATAATTTTACTTTATTAAGATACAATTTGATTTCCAAAAGTACTAATATCAGAAAAGTATTTAACATCCATGAATATAATATTTTTATACTAAATATTATTTTTATATAACTGTAATTATATGATAATTACCAATTTATTGCAAATTCAAGGTAATATAATCCTTTATTTTAACAAAATAATTACTACAACAAATAAATAAAATTAAAAACAATTAAAACAATAGAGAGGCATTTTTTAATTAAAAAAATTTATATAATAAATAAAATATTATTTTTTATAAATATATTTAACCCATATGTCCA